TTGGTGGGGTTTCCCAAAGGTGGGCTAGTTGCTGAGTGCAGAGCTTGATGTTGAGCGTGGAATGGTGAAGTAGTTTTCAGGCGCGGAGAGGGATGGGCGTGTCCGAGCTCCCGGTGAGGCAACCAGCCTTACAGCAACAATAGCAATAGTGTTGTGGTAAATTATGACTAATAATGGCTTATATTTATTGAGTGCTTATTTGCACAATCTCATTTAACCTAATGACAGTCCTCTCAAGTTGACACTTTTTTGTTTGCTTTTTTTTGTTTTGAGACATGGTCTCCCTGAGTCACCCAGGCTAGAGTGGAGTGGCACAATCATGGCTCACTGCAGCCTCAAACTCCTGGGATCAAGCAATCCTCCCACCTTAGCCTCCCTAGTAGCTGGGAGTATGCCACCAAACCCAGCTAAATTTTTTAATTTTTTTGTAGAGACAGGGTCTCATTATGTTGCTCAAACTGGTCTCAAACTCCTAGGCTCAAGCAATCTGCTTGACTTTGCCCAGTGCTGAGATTACAGGCATGGGCCACCATGCCCAGCCTGAAACAGATACTGCTGACTATTTCCATTGTATGGGAAAAACTTCTGAGGTTCAGGGAGGTCAAATAAATTGTCTAAAGCGGGAGCCAGCAAACATCATTTACAAAGGTCCAAATAGTAAATACTTTAGGCTTCACTAGCTCTATGACTCAGTCACAACTACTCAACTCTGCCATTATAGAGCAAAAGCATTCATAGGTAACATGCAAACAGGTAAGTGTGTACTGATAAAACCTTTTTTTTTTTTTTTTTTTTTTTTTTTTGGAGACAAGAGTCTCACTCTGTTGCCCAGGCTGGAGTGCTGTGGTACAGTCTTGGCTTACTGCAACCTCTGCCTCCCAGGCTCAAGCAATTCTCCAATCTAAGCCTCCCAAGTAGCTGGGACCACAGATGTGTACCACCACGCCTGGCTAAGTTTTTGTAGTTTTGGCAGAGACAGAGTTTGATATTTCCCACGCTGGTCTTGAACTCCTGAGCTCAGGTGATCCTCTCACCTTGGCCTCCCAAAGAGCTGGGGTTACAGGCATCAGCTACCACGCCCAGCCTCTGATGAAACTTTATTTACAAACATCGGAGTTGAATTTCCTATGATTTTTACATCATAAAAAATACATATTTTTTTGAGATGGAATCTCGCTCTGTCACCCAGGCTGGAGAGCAGTGGCGTGATCTTGGCTCACTGCAGCCTCTGCCTTCTACGTTCAAACAATTCTCCTGTCTCAGCCTCTTGAGTAGCTGACAGGCATGTGCCACCACACCCAGATAATTTTTGTATTTTTAGTAGAGATAGGGTTTTGCCATGTTGGCCAGGTTGGTCTTGGACTCTCGACCTCAAGTGATCTGCCTGCCTTGGCTTCCCAAAGTGCTGGGACTATACACCTAGCCAACATCATAAAATATTTTTATTTTTATTTTTTTCTAACCACTTAAAAAACCCAAAATCATTCTTTACTTGAGGACTATAAAAATCAGACAGGCTTGTGCCTGTAATTTCAGCCACTCAGGAAGCTGAAGCAGGAGGATTGCTTGAGACAAGGAGTTCAAGGTCAGCCTAGGCAACATAGGGAGACCCTGTTTCTGCAAAATTTGTTTTAAAATTTAGCTCAGCACTGTAGCATGTGCCTGTAGTCCTAGCTACTCCAGAGGCTGAAGCAGGAGGCTCACCTGAGCCCAGGAGTTCAAGGCTGTAGAGGGGGCTATGATCACGCCACTGTACTCCAGCTTGGGTGACAGAGTGAGTTCTAGTCTCTGAAGAAAAAATAAAAAACTGACAGCAAGCTGGCTTCAGCCATGGGCTATCATTTACAAACCTCAGGTCTAGGGTGACACAGCCTGTAAATGATAGACTCGGGCTTTGAACCCAGTTGTCTGCCCAATTCTAAAGAAAACCTACATCAAGTACTTAATTGTATTCTACAATTGCATCAGGTAGGAGCCTCTTTAAAGATCCTCCTTTGAATCAATTTACATCAGTGTTAGAAACTTGTAGATCTGAAAGAAGAGACCACTAAAATGTACTACAGGTCTTTTCACTGCTGAAGGGTAACATCTATGGTAAAGGTATATGGCAAGTTCGTTTTAAACAATGAGTTATTGGCAGTTTGGAGATTTCTCAAAGAACTTAAAGCAGAACTACCATTCGACCCAGCAATCCCATTACTGGGTAAATAACCAAAGGCATATAAATCATTCCACCATAAAGACACATTCACGCGTATGTTCATCGCAGCACTATTCACAATAGCAACGACATGGAATCAACCTAGAGGTCCATTAATAGCAGACTGGATAAAGCAAATGCAGTACATATACACTATGGAATACTACACAGCCGTAAAAAAGAACTAAATCACATCCTTTGCAACAACATGGATGTAGCTGAAGGTCATTATTCTAAGTGAGTTATCCTAAGAAAGCCAAATACTGCATGTTCTCACTTATAAGTGGAACTAAGCACTGACCACACTGCAGACACCAGGGCCTACTAGAGGGTAGAAAGTGGAGGAGAGTGAGGATCCAAAACTACGTATCAGGTACTATGCTCATTAACTAGAAGACAAAATAATCTGTACATCAAACCATTGTGACATGCACTTTACCCACATCAAAACCTGCACATGTACCCCTGAAAGTAAAATAAAAGTTGTGGGAAAAAATGAGTAATTTTTTTTGGGTTGGGAAATCACATAGCTACATCGCTGTACTTAAGGAGCTCAAAGCCTGGAGCAGACAAGTAAACAATTACAATACAGGAAACAATTGTACTTTGAGGAATTGATGACTCAAGGTGGGGGTGAGTTTGGGGGTATACCTTGTAGAGAGCGAAAGCTGGATAATTAGCATCAAGAGAGGCTTTACAGAAAGAGGCCTTCCCTCAAGGTGAGTTTTGAAGGACTAATAGGATTGGCCAGCTGAAATTAGGGAGAAGAACAATCCAGGTTGAAGAAACAGGAAGACAAAATGGCAGATACGAATACCTCAATAAGGACAGAACATGGCATGTTCAGAGAACTGTAAAATTCCAGTTAATGTTAACACTGGAGCCAGAGGTTTTTTCCTTTGCATGACTTCTTCTCCCTCTCAGTTACCCTCTCAGTCTTTTATCAAAACCTGAATTTAGCTCAACAACTCCACAGGAAGAAAAAGGTTTAATGTAGCATATCACTGGTAACGTGTGTTGACCCAAGACTTATCAAGAGGGCTAGAAACAACTGTATGGAGAGGAAGATTGTTCGCAAGTCACCACCCAAAATTGCAAGTAAAGTATCAAAGATAGACAGTTAGAAGAAACACCTCCAAACAGCTTCTTACTAGAATGCGTAGTAGTTAAACACAAGGCAGTACAGATGGCAGACAGCTCAGCAAGATCCCAGCAGACTCAAAAGTCCTTTTCATTTGAAACATTCGAGACTGTTAGACCCTTGATCAAGTTCTCTTTCAAGTGGAATGATATATTTTAAAAATTAGTTTGGAATGACACAAGTAATAGGAAAATGCATTCTTCAGAAATGCATCCTATCATTACACGTAAGACCAAGTTCTTCCTTTAACAATGACCAGTTCCTATTCCTAATCCCCATCCCCAGAGGCAAATTCTTTCATCAGTTTCATTGGTATCCTTCTAAGTTGTTTTCTGTGCATTTACACATATCAACAATGAACACAGTAGGTGAAAGTTGCTTGTAATTTAAATGCAATTATTGGAACATATTTTTGAATGTTGGTTCATCTAGAATAAACATTCAACCTAAAACTTTTTTAAAAACACAATTAAAAAAATAAACTAAAAAATAAAGATAAATGAGTTTACATTTGTTTTTAAAGTATCATCAAACTTGGTAGATTCTGAAAGAATGAATGATAAGGTAAACAAGTAAACAGAGATAAATGAGCCATAAAGCAGTGACTATTCAGAGTAGCAGGAACCACTGGGAGGCTGTACAATGTATGGTCAAGAGTTTGAACCCCAAAGTCAGACTGCCCAAGTTAGGGCTCTGCCCTTTACTAATGGAGATACTGGGCAAACACTTAACTGCCCTGCATTTGTTTGAAAAGAGGATAATAACAGTATCTACCTCACTAGGCTGTAATAAATACATGCATTCATGTACGTAAACCACTTAAAACAGCATTTAGTCAAATACTGCATGATCTCACTTATATGTAGAATCTAAAAAAGTTGAAATTGGGCCATGCTCACTGGCTCATGCCTGTAATCCCAGCACTTTGGGAGGCTGAGGCGGGCAGATCATGAGGTCAGGAGTTCAAGACCAGCCTCGCCAACATGGCGAAACCCCATCTCTACTAAAAATACAAAAAATTAGCCAGGCATGGTGGCGCGCCCTGTAGTACCAGCTACTCGGGAGGCTGAGGCAGGAGAATTGCTTGAACCCAGCAGGCGGAGGTTGCGGTGAGCCAAGATCGTGCCATTGCAGCCTAAGTGACAGAGTGAGATTCGCTGAACTTACAGAAGTAGAGAGTGGAATGGTGGTCATCAGAAGCTGGGGGTTGGGAGTGAGATGCTGGCCAAAGAGCATGAAATTTCAGTTAGGACGCATAAATTCAAGAGCTGTATTGAACAACATGGTGACCATAGCTAATCATAATGTATTGCATTATAGAAAACTGCTGAGAGTAGATTTAAGTATCCAAAAAAGCATGTGAATACATATGTTAATTAGCTCAGTCTAGCCATTCCACAACATACACATATTTCAAAATATCATGTTACATATGTTTACATGGCAATTTAAAAAATAAATGTTAAAAACAAAACACTACCACCACCACCGACAAAACAGTGTTTGGCACATTGTAACTAGTCAAATAACGTTACCCTCTTAGTAACAGTGCTGGGCCAAGGTGTTAAGTGTATCAGGATTTTCAAGAAAAGGCAATAGCCTTAGAATGGATAAGATAGTGACTAATGATAAATATTTTTTCTTTTTCTTTTTTTTTAGTTCAAAATTCAGCAGTAAAATTAAATATGTCAACAGCTTATCAGAACTCAGTGGGCTGATCCCAATGGATTGCATTCACATTCCGGAGAGCATCATCAAGTAAGTCCTGACGGTTTCAGAGATTTGTTAAGAAATAGTACAAGTTGAGGCTGGGTGTGGTAGCTCATGCCAGTAATCCCAGCACTTTGGGAGGCCAAGTGCAGGAATCAGTTGAGCCCAGGAGTTCACAGTCAACCTGGACAACATAGCAAAACCCTGTTTCTACTAAAAATACAAAAATTAGCCAAGCGTGGTGGCATTTGCCTGTAGTCTAGCTATTCAGGAGGCTGAAATGAGAGGATCACCTGAGCCCGCGGAGTCAAGGCTGCAGTGAGCTGTGATCGTGCCACTGTACTCCAGCCTGGGCAATGGGAGTGAGACCCTGTATATGTATATATATATATATATATATATATATATGTTTGGAGAAGTGGGTTGGAAAAGAAGTCAGTTCTGCATCACTGGGGAAATGGCATTATCTCATTTTTAAAATAATATTAAATATCCTCCAATAAATAAATTTTTTTCCTATAACCTATTGATAATTGTTATATTCTTTCAGAATTTTACTACCACTTAGGAGAAAATAACAGTTACACTGGCTAACTGGTATACTGTCTTTACTGGTTAACAGTGTATCAGTTTCTTGTGTCATTCCCACCCCCCACCCCCGCCTCTCTGCTCTGCACAGACAAGACAGTCTTAGCATAGCTTGGATTTCTTTACACAAAGTAATTTATCTACATGACCCTTGGAAAATAGAAAAAAATAACTCTTTCTCTGTTTCTTCTAAACCCCTTCTTTTTTTTTCATGATTAGGTAGAGGGCATTTGCCCAGTGGTGGGTGGGGCAGTGAGGAATGGTTTCCTTGCTTGCTTAATAGAGGGTAATGCAGTATCAGTATCAGCATCCTGCCCGGGTACTGAAGGTCTCAGGATGATGCTACAAAAACTAGGATGAAATTTAACAAAATACGTACTTGGAGCTGGGATTTTAAAACAGGGATACTGGAGAATGAATACTTGTATCTGGTACATCTGGTACGTTGTTGCAAAGAAGATTGTTTTCTATGTGTCTTTTTTTTTTTTTTTTTTTTGTCCACTGTATCTGAATCACTAGTTTTGTTCATTCCATTAGAGTGGAAAGGGACTTCACCATTAGCCCAAAGAAAATAGGCAAGTATCATTCATCTTCCTCCATAAATGAATAGCAAAATGTACCTCTTATTTGGGATTCCAAAAAAAGAGTCCTCTCACTTTAAAAAATAAAAAAAAAAAAAAAACAAAGAAATTTAAAAGGTCCAACCTAGAAACTCAAAGGAAAGAATTCTCATGCAGTGTGTATCTATGATATACAAAGCATAGAAGTGTTCTATTTCTATCATTTATTTGACTCCTATAGTAAACCCCTGTTTTACAGAGGCAGGGGAGATAATAAGAAGTTACTTATGCACAGTTTAAGTAGGAACCAGGAAGAGATGGAACTGGAATTCAAATTCAGGTCAGCCTGACATCAAAATTCCCGTGTCCTTTTCTAGTAGATTAATTTACCCCTTTTAGAGTATCCTTCGAAATTCAAAGCTCAGAAGTAGATGCATTTGGTTTGTCTACGTAACTAATATCAGGCATGAACACAGGATACTGATTGGGCTTACAGTGGTCAGTTGGCTCAGCTGAATTAAGCGGAGTGTTCATAAGATCCTAACAACGGCTTCAACCCTCATTAGCTTCATAGCATCTCCACAACCAGCACAACTCATAGCTCTGGGCTGCTGCCTCAAAAAGGCATACTCCATCTTCAAAACCCACTTCTACTCTTTAAATTTAAAAAGTATGGAGGTAGGGGGCGATGGTTCATGCCTGTAAGCTTAGCACTTTGGGAGGCTGAGGAGGGCAGATAGCTTGAGTCCAGGAGTTCAAGACCAGCCTGGGCAACATGGTGAGACCCCGTCTCTATGAAAAAACACAAAATTAGCCAGGTGTGGTAGCATGCACCTGTAGTCCCAGCTACTCAGGAGGTTGAAAGGGGAGGATTGCTGGGAGGCGGATGTTACAGTGAGCCAAGATCGCACCACTACACTCCAGCCTGGGTGATGGAGTAAAAAAACAAAAAGGAAAAACTATGGGAGCACTCACATTCTGTAAGATGACACGGACAGTCTCTCTTCTAGTGGAATTGAGCATTGACCACTTTCCAGGTAAACACGGTCACACTTCCATGGTGTGATAGAGACAATACAATGAAAAGTGAATGAGCTTTAGAGACTTAGATTTGAACTTTCCCTGCTACCTCTTGATGTCTCTGAGACTTCAAGTCACCTATTTAAATGATTAATTATTAAAATTTTCTGAGTCTCAGCTTCAGCATCTGTACAGTGGGGAAGTAATTGCACTTCATGGAGTGGTCCTGAGGATTGAATGCAAACGGTACACAAGCACTTGCAAAGCCTCCCAGCACAGAGTTTGCAGTCCAGAGTCTTACTTATTGTTACACATGTTGCTTTTAAAGACTCTCTATCATATGGGAAGGTTCAAGTGCGAAGTTAAGTATACCCAGGACAGTTTTCATTCATCTGCACACATCAGTTTTCAAGGGTTCCATTTGGGAAAAGTTACTTCAGGAGGAAGGGTTCTATTTGGAAAAATTTTCTTCTGGAGGAAGGAATTTACCACCATGCATGTGCTGCCCACACGTCCGTGTGTTTTTCTGTTTTCTGTAATTCGTCTACTTGGGATGTCCTTTTCTGCCATTTCTGTTACTGACCTTCATTGCCTCAATTTCATGTTACGCAAACTTCAAATGGATAAAAACCATGGCTCCTTTTTATCATCAAACAACATTCAAAGGATCTGATCTCAGCCACGCACAAGACCAGTCCTCAGCTGAGATGGAGCCTGTCATCAAAGGGCTTAAATGACAGAAAAACTTGCCCAACCTAGAACCAAATTTATAATCATTGGTTACAGTTGATTCTCATTATTTGTGACAGTTATGTTCTATAAAGTCACTGCAAACACTTAATCAGTGAATACTGAACTAATGTTCCAGGGCAAAATACAGGTTCCTGAACACCTCTGGTCACAATGTTTTCATCAATCGATCAATCAATATATAACCTTGTTTTATGTGTGTTTCTGTTTAAATGAACCTGACTCAGTATATATTGTTGATTTGTGAACATTGAACTCATGGCCAACAGTATTGTGACTTGTGCCTAAACAAAGCTTATCTATTTTCTTCATAAGGCACTCCACAGCCTTTCTGCTCTTGGGAATACTAGATAGTATTTCAGCACTATGCCTGGAAGCTAATTTGAACAGCAAAATCACTAGCAAAAAATACAAAAATGAGAAAAATACATCCCTAAATAGGTTGTGAAAAGGTCACTTGTTCATAGTGTGAACAAAAAGACAGAGCCTCACACATGGCCAGGTGGCAACTCCAACTTTTTGCCACTCTGCCCATGTCCACAAGTGACCCAAAAAGTACCTTTTATAGATTTTGTGGTTACAAATACACGTTAGTGAAAAGGCAAATTTACAAATATAGAATCTGCAAATAATGAGGATTGACTGCATATATTCAAAATCATAAACATTGATTGTTATCTAATGAAAATAAGATTTCTCCCAAATGCCAATTTTATTATTACGGTCATGCATCACCTAATGACAGGGACGTGTTCTGAGAAGTTCATCTTTAGGTGATTTCATCATTGTGCAGATGTCATAGAGTGGACTTGAACCTGGATGGTAGAGCCCACTACACCACCTAGGCCATCTGCTATAACCTTTTGCTCCTAGGCTACACACCGGTACAGCATGTTACTGTATTGAATACCACAGGCAGCCATGGTAAGTATTTGTTTATCTAAACAGGGACAAGATACCATCCAATAATGGTGTTCTACTTTATGGGATCACTACCATGTATGTGGCCCATCACTGACCCAAATGGCATTACATGGTGCATGACTATATTTGGATAGGCATTTTCTCTCACGATTTGACTGTCTTTTAAATCATTTACTTGTCATTTTTTCCATCTGTTTGCTCATTTTCCTTATGGCCCTCGTTTTTTATCTCGTAAGGTACGATGAAGAGAGATCTTATAAGAGAAGTGTGAGGTAAAATCTCCTGATCTCCTATTCATGCTGGACCCTGTGTGTGTACACCAGTGTTTTACTTGGGGGTGACCTCAACATGCTACCAGAGCAAAGGTCACTGTATCGGTCTTTTGTATGCCATTTCCCGTCTTTGTCTTGCGTGTAAAGCTGTTGAGGTCAACCTAATTTGCAACTGAAACCTACTAAACCAGATACATCCCTGACTTGGCCCAGGCTGCAAGCTAACTTGAACTATACCCACCAGACTGACATGGATGATTTCAGCTTGATTCAGCCAGCATGTTTCTGATCCCTTTGCAACTTTGATATCTACTTCTCATGAAGGAATTTGTAAAGTCAATGTACATAAACAGTGAATGGGAGGAAACGACAGACAGCATATTTAATGGAAGGAGTGCATCTCAGTGCTCCAGAAGACAGTTTTGAAAAGCACATATGCACCACTTTCGTTTGGCTCTGCTTTGCTAAGTGACGGTCTCATGCTCTGCTTGCTTCTTTTTTGTTTCTTTTCCACACCCATAATTTTTGCCCCTGCAGACTGGATGAAGAACTGAGGGAAGCATCAGAAGCAGCTAAGTAAGACTTGGTTTTCATTTAGCAGCTGGCATGATGTTGGCTTGCATTTCAGAACTGAATTGGGAAAATGTGCATGCCTAGTGTTTTATTCCTGCTTCCTGACAATAATGCGCTTTAGAAATTCTCTTTCTCCTGTGATAGATGTAATCTCTATTATTCTTACTACCACCTGTTTTTCCCCGTGATTTTGGTTATACTGAGGAATCCATTTGTCACTGTTGTTTTTTTTTTAATGTATAGGAAATTCTAGGCACCACAACAAAAGAACATGTCACAGTCACTGCCTCGTATAGTGTGACATCCAGATGATCATTAGGTATTGAGGCAAGAGAACCTCATTAATTCATACCAATGGGGA